CATGTAGATGATGCCCCTACAATGGAAGATCATCAGACTAACGAAGCTGGTATTTAAGATTTTCTTGCAAGTGTGTCTGAGTACAGGACACAAGCACCCCACTACTCTGGCGACGTAGTCTCTATAGAAGATGATGAGGAAGAGTTAAATAGGACTCCGTCCAAGGTGATAGATGAGTACTATGGTGGTGGTCATAAGGGCCGTAGAATTTGGGGGTCACTATTCCCATTCACTGGCCTGCAGGCATTTTTTCAATCGCAACTGTGCTAACGCTGACCATCCAAAAGGTACTCCTACCCAGCCTTGCATGCACCCTCATGCCAAATATCACCTCAGCGAGGAAAAGCTTATCCTTGATATAATAAAGAAGGGCGTAGGGTTCCTTCCTCATCATACAACACTATGCCTTATAGAGCAGGGGATCTTAGGGATATTTATGATGACAATGTACTCCAAAAGTCACCTGAAGAAAGAAAGGTCGCCATGGAGCGACTCAAGGCCATCAGAACAGCCAACGGTCCCATGCTGCGTTCAGAGCTCGTTGCCGAGGTGCGCGCAGCCCTCCTGGCTGCTGGTTCTCTTAGGGAATATACGTTCAACAGCGCAGCTGATGTTCCCAGCTCCAGTAACGCGCCTGGTTCTAGTGGCCTGAGCGACCTCAGGGCACCAGCCTTAAGAATAAGGTTCTTAATAGGAGCCAGGGACACCTTTCAGCTTGCGTGTTGAATTATCAAGAAAACGTTCCACTCCGCAGTGGTTCCATTATCTCATCGACTGGGATGGAACTCTGGAATAGCATAAGCCTGATCCCACTTGTGGGAACCTCTTCCTTCCTTTCCACTGCAACCAGCCCTGATAAAACCCTCCTTTGCGGCATTCGTGCCAATCCATGGCCTGGTGCCTACATTCGTGACATTGCTGGCACCTGCACTGTTAGGGGACATAAGGAAACTCCTCTTTCGTATGCCATTTTCGAGGCCTGCTTTGGTAACGAACCTCGAAGGGAGGATTGGGAAAGAGCAGGCTTGTCCCACTACAAGGAAGCTCAACGTGAACTCCTTCGTGAGGATAACCCTGCCAAGGATAAGATTATCAGGTCAGGAATGCATGTCATCCGCACGCGCTCCTTCCACCTTAACAATCAAGCAGGCACTGACAGTCCTGCATGGTGTGGTGAGCTTCTCAGCTCCAGGGTTGCTGATTGCTTTCATTACCAAGTGGATATTGTAGGTGGAGCTGGCAATGCCTCAACATATAGGTTTGGAGGAAGCAACCAGAAGTCATCTTCTAATGAGCAATCCTTATTTCAGGAGGTATTCAAATCCTGCAGAGATGCCTTTGTATCATCTCATGGAGGCGACCTTGCAGTAAGCACTAAGCTTAGGTTCACCTCAGGCAATACAACAGAAACACTTCGTTATTATGAGGAGAACTTTGGTCGTCCTTGGAATTAGATTGAGGTAAAATATCCTCCTGATGCACCTAATGGAGATTGCATGGTTGCTTGCATCATTGAGTGGCGGCACAGCCAGAATCTTGACAAGTGGTCAGACCATCCTCCAGCAGAACATGAGTACATCATTAAAGTCAACGAATTCTTGATGTATGCTGGATTGGAAACACTGTTCCTAGGGCTTAAAGACAGGGACAGCCACACTATCTTGTTTTTCACGCTCCACCCTAATCTCACCACGAGGGAACTTCAAGGTTTGTTCCATTCCCTGTCAAGCAAGAAATGCCAAGGAACAGAAAGGCACTTCAAGAGGCAAATTGACTGAAGGGTAAGGCCAAAGGCGCTTCGAAGAGCCAGGGCAAGGCCAAGTCAAAGATCAAAGGCAAAGGAAAGTAAGCCTGCCAGTGAGCTATGAATCCAAGACTCTTTCAACGAGGAGATAGCTTGGCTCCAAGCAAGGTTTCTGTGTGCCCTAGGCATCTTCAACGAGATGGTAAGGGCTTTGCACTTGCCAGCCGTAGGTTAAGCCTTTAAGTAAATATGTGTGTTTCACACCGAGAGCTGGATAGCCGACCAGCGTGACAGTGATGTAACATGAAAGTCAATTTGTGCCTGATTGAATTGACTTCAGTCCTGTTGCTTTGCTATCAGTCCATGTACAGTTCATGTAGCACAACTGCATTGCATGTTGCTGTTGCCGCTGTCAAGGTTCTACGGAGATAATACTCGAGTGCGCGTAGAGAATGGAAAAGGACAGAGACGCCCGCTCGCCTGTCTACTGTACAGTGTAGTGAGGTTGTTCATGCTCAGGCCAATCTCGCGGGGGAGGGGGGGGGGTGCTCTCAATTTGGGAGGGGGAGACGTTTGCAGCCTTGTTTGGGGGAATGAATTCCTTGATTTGCTGGATGAAACGTTCTCTGGGCTCTTCATGCGGAGAATGGGGTAAAAAGAAGCAGATCACAACTTTTTGCAACATATCATGGCCGGGGCTCTGTCGACTCTGCGAAGTGCATGGGAGGGTGCGTGACCCCGCTTGGAAAACATTGCACGTCGCGTTAGGGACATCATGCAATTCAGAACATGTGATCGACATCCAGAAGCAATCCCAAACACCTCTCAGGTCTCCTTCACATCTCCTTGTTGTTTGCTTTTTTGAGTTCTTCTGCATGTCTGAAAGGAGCCGCGCTCCAGACTTTCCGGATATTCCCGGATCCTTCTTGTAAAGATCCAAGGCGAAGGTATTGCTTTGGCCCTGCAGCGAAGGCGGCTCCGCGGCTCCGAAAAGCCGCCAAACCGCCGCTCCGAAAGCTGCGGCGCCGAAAAGCGAGTCTCGCTCCACAAGCAATGGGATGTTAGCCTAAACGCCTAGTAACAGTATCCCCCTTAATGCTCCGCTATGTAATGCCCTATAATAACCACCCCCTTTAAGGAGTTTGGACTGTCATATGGATGAAAAGGGTTTAGGGCTTAAGGCGTCTGCTCCACAAAGGGTCAAGGCGGATGGCTACGGCAAAGGCTGCCTGGACCACTCCTTGTGAGCTCTAGGAACATGAGTGAAACGCCACTAGCCGTGGCAGCCAATGCAGGAAAATGCCTCTCCTAGGAGTTTTTATGATGTTTTATGTTGCTACTTGTGCGCAAAGGCGCCAAGTCGTGAGTTAAAACACTTTCCTGCACGATTTTGCTCTGCTCTCACGGGCCCCGCCCGGAACGGAAACTCCCGAAGGCTCTTCATTTTCGTTCTCTGCTCATGTGCAGAGCTCCGCACAGTCGGCAAGCTGAGCAAGCTGAGTCGAGGCTGGGACTCAGTGGAACGCGGGTGGAAGGTGGCGAAAAGAGGCGGGAAAACGGTCAGCTCACTTCGTCCGAGGCCCGGGCTGCGTCGAAGTGGGCCACCGTCAGCAACCCTCAGACTCAGGCTGTAGCTTTGAATTGAAATCTTCAAGTGCACTGCGAGGCCTTCTTCGTCTCCCAGTCAGAGGCCGCTTGGGAGTCTGTGGAGGCCCCGACCTCCTTTTCACCTCAGTCCCAGGCTTCTTTGGATCCTCCAAGCTTTGAAGGAGCAATGGACCTTCACCCCCCACATTCTCCAGAGTTGGCGAAGGATTCTCAGGCAAATCTGCGCCAACAACGAGCTTCATCACTGGACCCTACTTCAACACGATCTCACGAATCTCACATGATGCCTGAATGAAGTCTGTCGGCGGCCATGATGCCTTGCAGCAAAGAACACATGGAAAACATGGGTAAAACATGAGGGGCCTCTTCCTGGACCACTTCCAGAGGTTTCTGGACCTGGCTTTGCGACAGAAACAGATGAGGCCATCATGAGGCGATGTCGCACCTCAGCCAGCTGGTTTGCTGCCTGGGAAATGCCCATTTCAGATCATGTCACATGTGGTTTCACTTCACTTCACCCAGCCTGCAGGCACATGGCACGCCGTGCTTCTAATGCCACCAGCTTCAACTTGGGCAGAACTAACGCTAAACGGCGCCACGCATGTAGCTGTCATTGTAGCTATTCAACATTACCCTGGAGCATCTTGGAACACATGAACACAGCTTGCGGTATAATCTTGTATCTTGCTTGTAAAAATCAGTCATGCATTTTTCCTCCCACTGGGCTCGCCAGCAGTGACAAAACAAAGAGACGTTTTTCCGTGTTCGAAACTTCAGGCACCCTGTCACCAAACTGCGCGGCCTTGCTGAACATCGAACCCTTCATCTTGTATGCTGCTGGGTGACATCGAAGTCGTTTCCTGTTCATTCCGCCAGGAATGCTCAGCACTGTGTCGTCTGCCATGTACCTTGTGAGTTCTAAATGCCCACCCTCAGGTGCCGGAGGCATGTCAAGGCCAGCCATCTTGCATCAGCGCCAAAAATGACGAAAGCCATCCGCTATAGATATCGCACTGTGAGGGGGCTCGTGATGCCGCATGCATGCTTGCATGCGCGTGCTTTGGGTTGTGCCAAGGAAGTGCGGATTCTGAGTTGAAAAAAACACGAGAGGTCTCCGAATGTCTCCGACACCACTGGCAGGAAGAAAAGAGACAAACCAAACCGCAGAAACGATTGCAGAACCGACCGTTGCATGCCCGGCCCATAGTCCCGTGCGCTGCAAACTCCACGTTGCTACGTTGTAAGAATTCAGCATTGCCGCATTGATCCACATCCAAATGCAGATCGCCCGTAGCCGCCGCGCAAAACTCTCGTCCTTCCTCTTTCTCGGCTATGTAGAATCCATAGTTTCTCCAGCTTGGACAAATGTTGGACAGGAATGGGCAGGAAATTGCGAGATGCGGGCCTGGAGGCTTGGATCATGGAGCACGCCAAGGCCGCCAGTCAGACATGTTCAGCAGCAGGCGCGGGTCGAAGGCCTGGGCCAATTTTGGCTTTCTTACCCCCCCCGTCCCCCTAAACTCAAATAGTAAATTCCATGTTCTTTTCCATTATCCCTAGATCACCCCTATATAACCCCTATATTCCAACCCCTAGACCCTAAACCTTGCTTTTTCCAAGCAAAGCGAACGAACCCTCTGAAGTCGGCCTGCAAGCCGGCGTAGACGGCCAGGACCTTGCGCCTCGAAAAACAAAAAAAAAGTGGCTTTGGATGGCCCAGGCAGAGAGTTATTCTACAGTGTTTTTTTTGCATCGATGTAAACAACCAGTGTAGAATAATCCTTTTTGGACGTTTTGTCTTTTCGCTAAACTTGGAATCTCCTCTCCTCTCGTCTCTCTTCTCCAGCTGTTTCTCTCTTCTGCCGCTGCTGCCGCTGCCGTCAGGGTGCCAGAAGCAGGCGGCTCCGGCTCTGGCCAGGTGAAGCTGCCTGAAACACACAGACTTCACAAGAAAACAAGGCACCTAACACATAAATAGGGGCGGAAAGTAGGGAGAGGGGAGAAAGGGACTGAGCTCTTCGAGTAGGGCTGCGGCGCATAGGCTTGTCCTGCCTGGCACGTGACAAGGAGACTTCTCAAACTTCTTCGAAGCTGACGGCTGCGTCAGCTTCAGCTGTGGGGGGAGTGGGGGGAAAGGGGATGGGGCAAGGGGCATTCACAGGGTCCTTGGCAATCGACTGTGCTTCTGCATCATGTTCGAGCAACCTTACAACGCATAATTCCATCTGCTTACGCCACGCTACCAAACTGCCATGGAGCTGATTCTCATGCGAGGAGCCAGCGCAAGGAATCTGTTAGGTTTTTTGTGGAGCATCGATCTCGCGAGATGGGCACGAAGTGGACCTGGGCCGGGCAAACCACAATGGTGCTCTAAGGAAAGCCTGCGTGCCCACGAGGCCAGCACCCAAGGCTTCAGGTCTTTGTAGAAAAACTCCTCATAGACCGAGTCCTCCGACTGAAGCTGAGGCTTAGCACATTTCGCTCTGCCTTCTTCACCAGGCATATGAGCGACCTGCTTCAGGACCACGGAGCCCATGAAGAGCAATTTCAGCAGGCGGTTGCTGGCAGCAGTGCCGTCCAGATGCAGCAGGAACTTGTACTGCGCATGCTCCGGGAGAGACACTGGTCTAACCTCGGATGACTTTTGCTTTTGCACTCAAATTTCTGAAATTTTGACCAAGGGTTTCTGGCTGAGCCACATAGCTCTGTTTGGGGTGCTGCTCTTGCACGAACTTTGGTGCTCCTGTAAGCCCCACATCCAAGAGATCTTGTAACTCCCCCTGCGACAGCTCCGCATACATCCGCCGATAGGAGAAGGACATAGACACGTCCTTGGGAAAGCCAATGGGGAAGCAACGCTCAGATCTTTTTGTTGCGATTCAGAATAGCAAGTTCTAGCAAGGAGCATGTGGGGCAATGCATGCCTCCTGTGGCCTGTCAGGCAAGAACTCTGTGAAGGCGTTCGAAGAAGCCCAGTCGTGGCCGCGGAAGAAAGCTCTCGGGGAGCGACTCTTCCATGGATATGTTTCTTCCAAGCTTGCTTGCCACTGCGCGGATTCCCAAAGACCAAAATTCTGTTCAACGTCCTGGGAAGACACTCCACCAGCTGCTTCGTACCATGTTTGCCCAGGAATCGGAATGTCCTCGCGAGCTGGTTGCTAGAATGGCTAGCCACTGTGAACCTATGTCATGCCGTGTCCACCCCAGTGCTTTCCCCACCCACGGTATACCTGAAAACGAGATACCCGAAAGAAAAAGCTTAGATCCCCGGCTTCCCAGTCCCAGTCAGTCCCAGTGCGCTCGTGTTGCAAGAGCTGACAGCAGAGGCAATGGATTGAATCTTGCTTTCTCCAGATGAGCCTCATCATGGACAGACAAAACAAAGAGGACGTCCGGAGGAGGCGCGTCATCGAGATGGAGAGCTTGGTCAATAAGCCGAAGGGTTGCCAACAACCATCCGCCAAGCCAGGCATCACTTCTTCGAAGAAGGATGCGGCCCTCGATGATTGCAACTTCCGCAAAGTAATACTGCCATCCGTAGATTCCTTTCACCGTATTTGCAAGCTGGCTCACATTCCTTGGGGCATGGCCACAACAAAATATGCATATGCGTACCCCCAGCTTTCAACCAGTGCCATGAAGAGTCTGAGGAGTGATGGGCCCATGTCTTGCCAGTGGCAGGAAAGCATCCCAAATCCTCACGTCCTCACGTCGGCACAGGCACAGGATCCGGCGAAACGGGCCTAACGAAGGAGGCTCCTGCGGCAGAATTGGACACAAGGCCAGCCAGCTGCGGGCGAGCTCCTGCCAGTCTCATGCCTTACTGCCTCCAGCTCCCATGGAACAGAATTCCCCCTTTTCCTGAAACCTTTCCATGGAGGCCCATGCACGGAAACCGTTGGCAAGTTGATCTTGAGCCAAGGGAGATCAAGCCAGCCTGCGCGGAGTCTGCTTTTCAGAATGCAAACATGGAAGTGTGCGCCAAGTGCCAACCGCTGTTTGTGCCTCTTTCCCCGAGAAACGCAGAAACATGATTTTGACCCCAAAATCCCTCATGTCGAACAGCTCAGCACTTTCGCCTTTTACCTGGGCACATGCGCCATCAAAGACGTCGCAAATGTCAGGGGCGTCATTTATCGAAGAAACCGTAAACTTATACCCCTTACTGGCTTCCATGTCGTTTCCCCAAGGGGCAGTTCATGGTGCAAGACAGTGGTCCCAACAAACTCTGTCTGCTTCACATGGCACGCAGGCATTGTGTGTGCCGAAAGCATATGCTGAAACCGGCAGCAAATGACATGCAAGAAAGCTCTTCTCTCTTTTTCGGGGGATAAACTCAAAGACTTTTAAACATCCTGGCCTCGCTTGCTTTCGGAGTCGCAGTCGGACTCGCGCTTGTCGCGCTTCTCGCGCTTTGTGGGTTCAAGCCCTTGGCCCTCTGTGACAAGGGCTTGCCTGGCAATTCGGCACCAACCTGTCCCAACCTTGTACACCATGTGACTGTCCATGTGAGCTCACAGGTAGCCTCACAGGCTCAAAGCTCCTGCGATGCTCGGGGCAGATGCCGTGGAGCTTTATGGCTTTCAGGTGCGCTTCTGTTCCATACCCCTGCAGCACTGCACAAAGCAAGAACCTTCAATGACTCACAGTGTAACTGTCGTGCACTATGGTGCACTGCTGGTGCACCTTGTGCGTCTTGAAGTCGTAGCCAGGATGCACTTCATCCAAGGCTTCCATGCGGCGATCTCGATAAACTTTGGCCAGCACGGAGGCTGCAGAGATCCTCAAAAGACTGGAACGGTTCCCAGCGTATGCTGCAGTAACTGCAGCACATGACTCATTTCAAGGAGCTCTGCTTGCATTCAGAAGCTGTTTCTGTTTTTTGACACAGCCGAGGCACGAGGGCACACGCCCATCCCCTTCGACAACGGCTTCCACGTCTTTAGGCCTCCAGGGTTCCTCCTTTTCCTGTTTCTCCTTTTGCGCGAACCAGCGGGACAGCTTGGTCTGGTTCTTCAGGGCCTCCCGATCGCGCTGTGAGAGCCGGGTCCACTTCTCCCCGGCCGCCAGCAGCTCCGGGGGACGGTTGCAGCCGTCCACCAGGACCACCAAGGACTCCATCGCCGAAGCGGACAGACCACGCACAGCTTTGGCCATGGCCGACAGGGAGGCCTCCAGGCTCCAAACAGAAGTTTTCAAAAACTTTCAAACCTTTTTTGAACCCCTCGCAAAAGCCGGCCGCCTGGAGGATGTTGCTGCTATCGATTTCCGTCACGGAGGCCTCGGCGACTGACCATGCGATGCCTGGCACATGCTCTCAGAAGTCTGAGAAGTCTTAGATGTCATAGAAGTGTCTTGGCACCACTGCTTGTTCATACATTGCATGCTTCTCTTGTTAACAGGGCTGGTTTGCGGCCCTTGAACTTGGCACTTGTCAGCTCCTCCAGGGATGGAATTTGACAGAATGCCCACCCGCAGAACAAGGCATCCTCGTACAGGGCTTCTCTTTGCTGTGAAGATAACTTTTTGGAGTCGTTGACCCGACTGAGGATGTCGAGGACCTGCCGCATCTCAGCAATCGCCGACTGGCTGCTGATTAGCTGCTGATTAACTATATGGCTGTCAGCGCTGACGTGGCACTCAACAGTGAGGTTTTCAGGTTACACTGATTGCACGCCTGCGGTGGATGAGGCTCCTAAGTTGAAGGGATGCTAGCAGAATCTGCAGAGGGAAGAAGGCATGCAGCAGGACCATATGTGATTCTGTACGATGTTGGGATAAACTTCTGTGACAAGGGGCTCTGCAAAATGTCTGACAGGAAAACACGCTTTGTCAACTTAGATGCTAATGCCCATAATCGTAATAGCTTTATTTATTCAACACGCAACCGCAGTCAGACAAGCAATCTGCGCCGCGAATTCATGTAGCCCTTGTTGCCATCAGATGACCCCAATCTGCACGCCATCACCACCAGCCCAGTCAGTGCACCATCTTCAGGCAGCCCCTGCTGGCATCGGGTGACCCCACGTCCGCCCACCATCACATCCAGCATCATGAGCATCAGCGAGCCTGCGTTTCTCCTTCAGGCAGCCCCTGTTGCCATCGGATGACCCCCAATCCGCGCACCATCACACCCAGCATATGAGCATCAGCGAGCCTGTGTTTCTCCTTCAGGCAGCCCTTGTTGCCATCGGATGACCCCCAATCCGCGCACCATCACACCCAGCATCATGAGCATCAGCAAGCCTGCGTTTCTCCTTCAGGCAGCCCTTGTTGCAGTCGGATGACCCCCAATGCGCACACCATCACACCCAGCATCATGAGCATCAGTTGCCTGCGTTTCTCCTTCAGGCAGCCCTTGTTGCCATAGGTTGACGGTTGACCCCCCATGACATCGAGCAGCAGGAGCATCAGTGGGCCTGCGCTTCTCCTGCAGGCAGCCCTTGTTGCCATCGGATGACCCGCAATCCGTGCACCATCACACCCAGCATCATGAGCATCAGCGGGCCTGCGTTTCTCCTTCAGGCAGCCCGTGTTGCCATCGGATGACCCTCAAGCCATGCGCCATCACATCCAGCATCAAATGCATCAGCGGGCCTGCGTTTCTCTTTCCTGGTGTGCCGGCAAACTTGCCATTTTGGAATTCAACTCCCATGTTTTAGCTTCTGTCTTTGACGGCTAAAGTAGGAAGTGCAAGCTTGGGATATCCTGCAGGTAAAGCATGGGTATCGACCCAGAGCGAAGAGGAGCAAATCCAATGCAAGCTGAGAAGTAGCACCGCCGAGCAGCAACTTTTGCAGACGGTGATACGACCTGTAGGCTGCCGTTTATGAAAACTGAAGCTCTGTCTGTGTTTGGGCTTGAACTGTAATGCGGAAACTCAAGCACGGATTTGTGAGAGCCATTGGCCGATGAAGAAAAGTTTGCGGAGTGAAGGCCCTCATCACCAGCTTAAGCATGGTGCTGCATGCGGGTTGGGCGTACGCACCTCGGGCAGCACCTTTGCGATGACGTTGGCTGAAAAACAGGACTCCCGACCATGTAGCTGCTTCATTCATGGTAGTACCATGGTATGTCTGACCGGAAAAATGTCTGAAGGCGTGAAAAAGACTCTTCCTGTAGCCGTAGCGGTGGCCCACCCTCAGCTGGTGCTGTAGAATTCAACCATCGCCATAATTTCAAGATGCAAGGAAGGAAACGGCTAATGGAGCTACGGGGCCGGGCTCTAAATTGATCAGGAGCAAGGAGGCTAGGTAGGCAGGTGGCCTCCTTGTCTTTCTTAGCCAGGACCACTAGAGCCGCAGCAACGACCTCGGAAGTTTTCCATGTGAGCTCATGCGGGGCTTCGTGTTGCACACAAACTAAGTTTCCATGGGGGCCCCGGCAGGCCCTGCAAGAGGTCCTCGGCCTGCCTCATCCACGCCAGCGACCAGGTCACCCCTGGCCTCAAGAGCAGCATTGATGGGACCTTGAGGAAACGTGAGGAACATCTCTTGGGTTTCTTGCCCAAAAGCGCTGCTCCCAAGCCTCCAGGCCCTGCAGAGGAAGGAAACATGAGGAGGGACTCAAAGCTCCTCACGAGCTGCTGAACGAGCTGCGGAAGCGGAAACTGCTTCTTTGGCACCTCAGAGTTTCGAAGCAGCTTCCTCCGCCTTTACATGAGCTATAGTCTAAACTCCTAGTATCCCCCTTAAACTCTATAATACTTCCATACATAACCCTATGGCTCATATTATTCTAGAGACCTTCCTTTGAGTGCAAATGAGTGCAGTGAGGGCAGTGAGGGACTTCAGTGCTTCAGCTTCTGACTTTCGTCAGTGGGCTGCAGGCCAAGTCCCATGTTTTGCAAGTGACTGCTAGTGTACCAAACAACACAGCTGCGGGATGAAGAAAGCCGTCTGATGCAAACGCGGAACATGGCTGAACCACAGAGTCCTGAACAGCTGTCGGCTGCAGTGCAGATTTGAAGATATCTGGCGAAAAGTGTGCCTGACTGTGCCCAACCATTTAGGCTTACCTGTAACCTCCTGCACCCTTTTTTGGACTCGTATGGTCACATCACGCGGGTGTTTGCTACGCGAGTCAGGGCTTTGCAATGCCCTTCCCCCTCTTCATTTCTGAACTACATCTCTATCTGCCCCTGGCTCAAAGCCACCTTGGAGACTGGAGCATCTGAGAACCAACTGCCACGCCGGAAAATCGGACGCTGCGGGTGGTGATGGAAGGATCACAGGCGGTCATCACCCGGTATCATCCGCTCACCCTGCGTCGCGCGTGTCACTCACCACTAATCCTGCAGCAGTTTTTGCGGCGGCTCGGGTGGTTGTTCTCGCTCACTGGCGACCTGATGCAAGGTGACGTCGTCTTTGGTTTGAGACTCTGAGAACTTTTTCGGGCAGGGAATCTGCCTTCCTCTCCAGCTCCACTTGGCGCTCCTGCAAGGCAATCCACTCACCATCTCCTGCCTAACGACCTACCCTGCAAGGCAGCTCCTCCACGGCCGTTCCATTCGTCCCCTGCCACCAACGGTCACCAACGGTCACCAACGGTCACCAACGGTCACCAACATCAACCCTCAGAAACGTGGCTCCTCGGTCTTCCCAGCCTTCACTGTGGGCTCAGGGGCTTTGGTCTCTTGTACCTGGCCGTGCCAGAGTGCCACACAAGACACGCAAAGCCCAAGCTTTGAAATTTCACTCCAATGGCTCTCTCTCCTTTTCTTTCTTGCTGTCATTCGGGCTCTGAGGAGACACAGGTTGGGTCCCCCCCCGGGCACCTGCCCAGCCCTTGTAGGGCTGAACTGTTGGTGAAATAAACCCCTTACTTACACATGGTAGGTTTCACCATGCTCGCCAACCGCTTTGAAAGAGAGCCCCTCTCTTCTTCTTCTTCTTCTCACTGCTCTACCCCTCTCCAGGGAGAGGGGCTGGGGCACGGGCTCTCTCTCTCTCTCTCGCTCTCTCCTTCCTTCTGAGAGAGCTGCCTCCGCAGTAGCCTCAGCAGCTTCGGCCTGCCAAACGTGCTTCTTCGGGCTCTGGGAGTTCCGCGAAAAGAAAAAGAGACTCCCAAAGGGAGAAAAACAAAAAAGAGGAGACGCAGACGGAACAGCTAACGGAAAGAAAGGAGTGTTGGTGTCTTTTTCTCTGTTTCTCTTTCCCTCGCCTCCGGGCCGCCTTTTTCCTCGGCCGACGGCACGGGCTCGGCCTGGAAATCAAAAAACCGATGGCTTCTCCAAAAAGAGCTGCATGGGGCCCTGGGGCCCTGGGGCCCCCGGCCAGGTCTACGGGACTCTGGGCGGCGTAGAAGAGAAGGTAAGGATGCTGCCTGACGTTTGAGCGCACGAAAAAACACACTCAAACGCACTGCGCTGGGTCGTGCTGGGTCGCCAGGCTCCTCAACCTCGGCCCACTGGACCTGCCTCACCATCTCGTCGTCAATATGGTACCTAAGACTTAAGGACCCGTAAGTGTCTCAGTGTCTCTGAGCACATGATCTTGGGGCACCATCGGTCATTCCGATCACGCGCATAGGCCACGTAATGACCGGAAGCCGTCGAACCCCTGGCACCAGGAATTGGCTTACCACTGCCTGCTCACCAGCCCTCAAGACAAAAGAAGCCAGATGTGCCGCAGGTCATGGTGGACACACATGGCGTAGAGGTGGTACATGATCCCTCCAGGGCAAGACTGAAACAGAGAAGATGCACAATGCACACTAGCAAGGCTAGAAGCACAGAGATCAGAAGCACAGCAGTTGCCTTCATTGGCTTCGCCAAATCGCTCCAGATCGGCAGGAGGAATCCATGGACCTGAGCCAGTCCATGAGACGTAAGAATGGCAGTTTCCCAAAATTAGGGAACCCCAATATGGACCCCAATATGCTATATCGTCCTTATTATGAGGATTTTCAAAGGTAGCCCTAGTTTTGGGAACCCCCCTCTTTGGAGCAGTGTCAAGAGCCTTTGAGGTGCTGGCTGATGTCGAGCTCGATCGGGAAGCTGACCCTGAAGTCTCGAAGCACCAAAACTCACCAAGACTTAAGGAATCCCCGCCTTCTATTGATCTTCCCGAATAAATTCGTGTCCTTGCAGGTTGGTGCATTCTTTGCTCCCTCCATTTTTAACCCATTACAGTAGTTTCCATGTCATTTTCCATTATCCCTAGTATACCCCCAGTGGAGCTCCTAAAACGCCCCCAGCTCAGCGCACCCTTGCATCCGAAGCATCCGCGCTCCTGCCGGCGGTCAATGTAGACCACCAAGGCCTAGAGACTAGAACCTCTATCATCACAAGAAGCATGCCAAGAGTTGCAACAGTAACAACTGAGTGATGAAAATTCGTCACTCAGGTGAGAGGCTCGCTGTTGGCCTTCTCTGAGGAGCCAGCATTGGGCCTTCGGCGCACGAAGGAGGTACGGCTCGCACCTCGCTTCTTACACCTGCCGAAGACACGTTTTAGGGTCCAGAGATTGTAAAGGGTTTAGGGCTAGGGCCAGGAAAGTAACAACAGTAGCCATCAGAATAACAACAAGACAAGTTGAAGCAATAGCAAGGATGAAGAAAAAAGCAGGAAGAATGGTAACAGCGATGGCCATAAGACGAATTAACAGTGATACGGCGATGCATTAGTCATAGTTTTCAAGAATTGCAATCAGAGGAACTCGGTACCGGATCTGAGACAAAGGCTTCTCGCATTTGAAGTCAGCTATGTCCTCCTCTTTGGTGTACCTCGAATTTAGCAGAGTGGTCCGCTTGAAGAAAATGCTGGTTTAGCGGCGGCACTCGTCTAGCAGCTTTGACAGGGACGTCGGGCTTGCAGAAGAGTCTGACCGGGGACCTGCCAAGAAACCTGAAGTCGTAAGCCCTGATGCCAATTTCTTGGAAATCTGCCTTGCAGCGGCCGACGGAGGCACCAACGATTCAGCTGCTGAGCGCTCTCCTCGGTCACTCGCCATCGCTTGCGCAGCCGGATGATGCAGCATGCAGCATGATGCAGCGTGCCCTGCCATTGCGTCCTGTCGGCACTTCTGCAGCTCTTCGTCCGTCATGCCCAGAGTGACCGTGAGGCACAAGCAATACTCGACCTAACATGTCAAGATGGCGAGCGGCTCACGAGTCAAAGCGGCGGCCAAGCATCCCACCCGGGTCACCAAAGACTCATAGGTGCAAGATTTGCACGCCACTCTGGAACCTGGCAGATGAACATAGGGTCCATAGGATCCCGTAGGTGCAAAGGAGGTTCTTCTTTCGGACTGAGGAGAGAGCCCATGAGCATGCCAAAGACATGGCCAATCATGCTGCTTGCCTCGCACGTGTCAGCACTGAGATCTGACATTGCCTTAAGCTGCGAGGTACCAAAAGGTGCCACGAGGTGCGGTGCCTCAAGCTGCTCCTTCTCGGAATACCTCAGATTGCAAGAGCAGGCAAAAGATCCAGCCTTACTTGATGTGACATTTCTCCGTGCTCCGGACCCGAGCTTCGAACAGTCAGCTCCCGATCCATCGCCCACCTGCCGCATGCTGCCGCATGCTGCGCCTTTGTGCTACGAGCTGGTAAATTCTCTTCTTTGGGCCTTTACGCAGCCGGCAAGCCAGCGCGAGATAAGCAGCATCAAAGCTTCGTGAGCATCAGCTTGCCGGCCAAAGGCGAACTCCTCAGATGCCTCCAGAACAGATGCGGGCGGGGGTCTGGAATGAGGAGTAAATGATGGCCGCATCTCGAGGCGAGGGCTTCTGTGATGAGCCTTGTAAGGCGGCGTGGAAGGTCGACCTCTGACAGGGGCAGGCAAAAAGAGCCCATTCTCGTGGCAACCAAGTCAAGTAGGGCAACTGCGTAACGTGCTCCTTTGCGCTTGGCTCCGTCGATGAGGCGACCTTCACAAGCTCCAGACAGGGCCAGGGCTGCAAAGGACGAGGACCATGGCGCGGGACAGAGCCCAAGGAGCTCGGCAAGCCAAGGATCCTGAGAAGGGCCGGGGGGAGGGGGGGGGGGCGAGAAGAGGGGGGCAAAGGAAGCTCAAGCACTTCACAAAACATTGGGGTCCTCGGGAGGCTCCAAACAGGTTTCCCGCAAGTGGTGTCGAAGCATCGGTGTTTGCAGCAGGCACTGGGAGACCTCGGAGCTGGAGAAAGGTGCAGAAGTATAGGCACAACAATAAGATTAATACGAAGAATAAGGAGAGTAATATCATGTAATAGTGATGGAAAATCTCATCATAATGGTGGTATGAATAGGAAATGGTAAATCAAAGCAATGGTGATACAGTAGTACTAATGATACATAATGATAACAACGGTGGCAACGATGGTAATAGTAGTAATATTACGACATCTGGTGCTGCTTGACGATCGCACGCTCCATTAGACCGACCAGTTTGTGCGTATTCGCAATTGCAGACGCTCAGCATAAGAGTCGCAGCCAGCATGGACACCAGTGTGCACTGGCATTCACAAGCACCGATAATTTGCCCTGATGGGCGAAAATGTGGGATGAAGCTCTGGCAAAAAGCGGCCGACATCGTACCGAATTGAACGATTCTCACCCAGTCCGTCTGGCTCCTGGGCAAAATCGAAAGGAAAGTAGATCAGGACATAGAAGGAGTCAGGCCTGGGAAGAGCTGTGACTCCAAAACCACGCTCTCGTCATGATACTCCTAAACATCTGGCTTCTCTGTCATCGAAGAGCCCAGGCCTTAAGCAAGATAGCAAGATGGCGAGGCATCGAAGATGCTCACGCTCTTGACTCTCAGAGTTTCTGAGATGGAGTGGAGTGGTCACGTCGTGGACCTCTGGTCTCACGTCGTGCCTGGACGCCTGGACTATAGCCCGTCGCAGGACCCTGCTAGATCGGCTCAATCAGCACGACCAGGTCCTTTGTGAAACCCAATCTGGCTAAAGCTGAAACACGACTCTGTCGGGCGGCTCACCGAGCGGCTCACCTCGCTCAGTCCTTTGGCCCTCCCCCCCAGCAAGGCCTTGCCGGAAGGGGCCAGCCTGGCCTTTGCCAGCCTTGGCGCCACCCCTTTCGCCTCCTTTGCCTTTGCCTTTGCCGCTTCCCCTTCGACCTTTCCCTTGGCTCCTGAGCCGCGGAAGCAAAGCGCAGCGCAACCGGTCCCCTTCCTAAAAGAGACACGCGAGACCGGCCTGGCCTTGGCCTTGGCCTTGGGTTTGGGTCGGCCTGGCGGCTGGAGCCTGCGATGCCAAAAGCAAAAAAATCAATCTCCTTAGCGTCACTACAACGGTTTGGACATCTAGGATGGAAGTCCTCAGGCTTAGGGAGAGAATCTGCTCACAGGCACGGCCGCACGGCGGCACGGCCCAATGCCACAGTTGCAGCCTGCCTGAACCCTCTGCAAGGGCAAGGTCGGGCGGTGGCCTCCTTGGTTACAGCCAGCTTCAAGATTTCTCAGCTTTTTCGGGGAGTCTGGGATGTTGTGGAGAGTGCAGGGCGCGGGGCTTTTAATATTCCCGAATGGAAGAATCCGTAACCGCTGCTGTAAGATGTAGAAGTCCTAGCGGTTGGAGGCATTACGAGGTGTCAAGTTTTGCAGTGGTATTCTTCCGGACCATCAGAAATGCCCACATTGCCCTTGCGGCCTTACGGTTGCAGCTAAAAAAACCGGCTCAGGCCTGTGGAGGCCACAGGCCTGCAAGTGCTCAGCACCCCACCGAGTAGCCCTGATCCCTCCAACAGCCGACTCGGAACTTCAGCCTCCAGCCCCTCCAGCCCCTCCAGCTCCCGCATGTTTTGTTGCAAATTCTCGTCCCTCGACAGCCCTGCAGCCCTTGCTCAGATCCAGCAATTTTTAAAGCTCAGCGTCTCTGAAGCTTGCCCAGCCCTCTGCTCCTCATCGAGCAAAATCTCCTGCCAGGTATGGCTTGGAAAGTCTGCTGTGTCGACTTGTCTTTAGACGTCTAGAGTCTACGCTCCCGAACAGGGCCAAGCAGTGCTGTGCGTGCTGTGCGTGCTGTGCGCAGGGCTGTGCCGCCCAAGGCTGCCTGGCTCACGTACTGGCGGATGGCATGTGCCAAAGGCACGGGAACTCCTGACGTTGCTGAAGCATCATCACTACCCCCCCTCCCCCTCCCCTGCAAGAATCCGCCTCGTCTAAAAACCGAAGGCGCCCGGGCATCATTAATGGCCTGCCAGGCAAAAACCCTAAACCCTAAACCCTGGTCCGTGTGCACATCCCTCTGAAGGCAGCCTTCCAGCCACACTTCGCTAGGAAGAAGGCCAGGTTGCGGGCGAGACCCTGAACGAATGCTTCAGCAACTGCTGAGATGCCAGGATGCTCCATGCCTAGGCAGCTGTTTCTTAGGAAATCCTTTGATTTGGGGTTTGGGCCAGGCGGCCTCTCAGAATCGCGCTTCTGCTTTTGTTGGTTCAAAGTTGAAACATGGGTTACTTGGTGCAAAACTCCCATTGCGAGCAGCACCCGATATCACGGTCAGCTTGTGATTCAGAGCACCCCTAAGCCCCAACCACATCTAAACCACTTTGCTTACCGTCTCAGTGCCCCACCAAGTTGGCAGACGTTCCGAAAGACGGTGAAATATGCTCTACAGCTCACAGAGTCCTCAAAGTTCACGAAACCCAGTTTGGCCCACGGCAGATAGACCTTCAGCAAACGCTGGAAAGAAGCTACACGCGCTCCACGAGGCTTTCAAGGCAGCAACGAAATCATAGCGTGGAGCCTCGAATCCTGGCTTGCCCAATGCATGTTATCGCGCTGATTTCAAGGCATCTGACACAACAGGGCGGGCTCGCCAAGAACTGCGGTGGTGACATTCAGCATGGTCATCAGCTCTGGGTACGACATCTTGGACGAGGTGCTTCGCAAAACCAAGGTTGTGGTGCCTTAGCGACTCAGTTTGGTTCCCGTTTGTGACTTCCTGCTTTGCAAAAGGACCAGGCCATCATTCAAGTCGGTCCCCTGGAGGGGAGCATGCATTGCTGCGCTTTACCTCGGCTGCTCCCTTGGCACATCTTGCTTGGGGTCAAAGATACGTGCGTCCAAGGCGCACCCCTTCGCATCCCTGCTAAACACCCGGAGGCAGCATTGCCGTGGGCTTCGAGCCAGAAACGGGCAAAGCGTGCGCAAAGCATCAGATGCATGGAAACTTTCTGGCAGGCAAGTGCAGTTCTGCTTTGGGATCGTGGCGGCACTGAGGTAGCAGTTGTTGCTCCAGTTGGTGATGCCCACGCCAGGCTCCTTCTAACAGAAAAGCTCCCTCCGAAGTTCAAACTCACCACCTCACACCCACCCTCCAGCAAAAAAAACAAGAAAGCTCCCTTTGGATCCACTGGCACTGGGTGTTCAAACAGCGCTTTTCTTGGCCTCGAGGCAGCCGGAGCCCTGCTGCCAGTTGGACCGTGCGAGCCTGAGCGGAGCTCTGCAGAGCCCAAGCGGAGCCGCAAGGAGCCGAAGAGGGGGAAGAGGACAAAGAGAGGAGAAAGAGGGGAGTGAAGGGGTTTGTGGAGGGGTTTAGAGGGGAACGGGGAATTTTACTGGGATTCATCTGCTAGGGATACTAGAGTATCGGGGAAGGGGATTATAGGGGAAGGGGAAGATCGGAGGATGATAATGAAGGACGCTTCACGGATAACGACATACACACACACACAAACACATCTTTCCACTTTCAGCTCCCGACCAAGCACGGAAGCCCTCGCCGCAGAGGGGGACCTCTGGGCGCCTGAGAAGGCCCCGAAAGCGGCAGAGGGCTTTTGCTCTGCAATGCCAACCTCGGCGGTTTGCAGACAGCCTTGTGGACTTTCCAGTGCTGCGCCTGGCACAGGCAAACCCTCAAAGGCGAAGCTGGCGAAGCTTTGAGCCGTCTCGCCTGGCAGTCCCTGTCACAATAAGCTTCTTTCTTACATCGCCCGCACTGCGTCTTTGCCGTCCTGAGCCAGGCTTTCGTGGGAGACTCCGCAAAGCAGAGCGGAACTCTGTCCTTCCGCAGGCCGCGCAGCGCATGCCCGGCCCGCCATCCTCGGATGTCAGCGGCTTTCAGCTGCCATGTTTCACTCTTTTAATCTACGCCTCTAAGCTGGAAGAGTAACGTTTTGTTTCGGATGGGCGTGAACGATCCAAGCAGACTGCAAACCAGGTTGGGGCATGGGGGTTCTAAATCTCATAAAGGGAGTTACATGATTAACAGGACAAAAACAAGTCATGGTTCCAACAGACTACAAATTGCTAAGCTACAATTAGCCCACGAAGACCCAAGGCGCATCATGGTCATCCCTTGCTGCAGCCCTGCTCTTGGCTCAGAAATCTTCACAACCATCCCCCAAGATTGCCTATGCGAGCCTGGGCAAAATATTTTGCTAACACTGGGTGTCGTCAGAGCTGCGCTACTCTGGGCCGACGGTGCCGTTGAGGGTTGGTTCTGTCTCAGGGGCTGCTTCTGAGCAATGCTTGTCCGACAACCAAGCTTGTTGCAAGCTGTCATGCATAATCCAGCCAGCGATTCTAATCACAGTGCGAAGCTCGCACTGGCAGCAGGGAGACATTGTTTTGCCAAAGCACTGCAATGAAAGATCTGTGAACGTCTGCGAAACCTATGTGCATGCTGAAGCGGACCTAGACTGTCTTTGGCAGGCCGTGAAGTTGCACACCTCTGCAGGGTCTGGGCCGGCTGTCAAGCGAAGGAACTTCTAATCATCAAGCACTGCTGAACAACCAACAGGAATCTGCTGAACTCAGCCATTCCTCACACTGGTTATTTTCTTTCTTTGGTTGTTGAGCTCGTTGAGGATCACTCTTCATCACCTTCGTCGGCTCCCAGAATCAGCTCTTTCGCACGACCTTCTGCCAGGTCTAGCCGCTCTTTCACAACTCTGCGCTTGTACTTGATGTTCTGCTGCTTGGCCTCGCGGCGACGTGAGCGCTCCTCGTGCTTTTTCTCTCCTTGAAGGCTGCATTCTCCGGAGTCTGGCTCAGACTGATGATCCCTGTTCGAAGGAATTCACGAAGTGTCTCTTTCTCAGCTCCATGCTTCGTCAAGACATTTGCGATGTTTTGGGCTCCGTCGATCCAGAGAACGTCTGCCCCTTCTTGTCGACGTAGCATCTTTTTGAAGATAATCGTAAACTGACTGGGCGTCAGTTACGTACGCCCGCCTTCTCTGCTTGATTACCTCTGGCCAGTTTCGGAGATCAACTTCTCCGGTCAGAGCTTCCTCCAGCAGAACGATGCAAGGTGAGAGGCCTCTGCTGCTAACGTGGACCTGCAAACTCTCTTTGTCAAGAACTGTGGTAGCTCAGCCCGCGCCGGCTTCCCGTCAAGGATCTCCACTCTGGCGATGAGGATAAAGTAGCCACCAACACTCTTGTACCTCATCTCCTCCTTGTGGTCAGGCGTGCCATTGGCGTGCCCTGAGTCTGCCAAATGCAGGATCACACCCTCTGCTTGAGCAACAGGAGGTCGGCTACGCAGGTCTCGGACTTGCTGCGTTGAACAACTCCATTCTCATAGGCCAGGTCACATCTGAGCTGCCGTGTCAGCCACCCAAGCTCGCCAGCACTCGACTGGAAGGTATCCATCTCCTCTCAGTCAAGGCGCACGTAGATGTCGCCGCCGATCGGCATCGATCTTCACCGTCTTGAGGCTGAGGGCATAGTTCCTCATGCAATGATCCAGGTGGTTCTTCTCGGACTGTTTTCATCTCTCTTCCTCTGAAGATGAATGACTTGAAGTGGTTGGTCGAGAACTCTAACGCCTTCTGGGTGCGGCGAAAAACATCATCCAAATTGAACGATGTAAACCACCTTCCTAGTCATCCACATGGGCAACAAGAATCCCAAGCAGCTGGCCTCCTCTGTGCAGGTAGAAGGGGGCTGGCTCCAGTCTAGATTCAACCCAACCATCACTCTTCAGGTGCTCTTTCAAGGCAAGCCAGAAGAAGCCTGCTGCTTCGGAGAAACCGTAGATGGCCTTCCGGGCTCGGAGAAGTTGCCCGGGTCATACTCCTGGAAATCCACCCTTAGGTGGCTCGAGGTACACTTCTCGTCCAACGTTCTTGCCGCTGAAGTAGGCGTTCTTAACATCCTTGGCCAGCAGAACCAAGTGATGACACGTTGCCACCGCCAAGCGTGTTGACTCTGCAATCGCCGAGGCTGTGGGAGCATCACGCCGATAGTAGCCAAGGGACCAGTCCTTGAACCCTGGAATCACCAACCTGCTCTTCGCTAGGAACTCCTTGTCCGCAAGGCCGTCGTTTTTGTTGGTCCGCACCCAACGCGTAAGCACGATAAGGTCGGATCTCCTCGCTCTGCTTCATGTCCAGGACGTCACACGCCTCTTTGGTCAGCCAGGCGGTCCATTCCTTGGTGTCACTGCCGTCCTTGCCGGTGAAGAGGAGCTGTTGTTCCTGACTCAAGTCCTTCAGGTTCATGACTTTCTTCTTTCCGCCCTTGGGCGCCGGCACTAGCAGCCAAAGCCTCGTACGTGTCCTGACAGCGGTTCCTTCAAATGCCGAACAGGAAGCCAGAAAGGTTCACCCCCTTTGATATGTAGGCGGCCTGGTGCTTGTAGTAGCGCTCGCGGGCCGTCGTTCAGGTAGCTCCTCGGCGGCGGCGTAGTCGTCACAGGTCTCCCGCGCATAGTTCCGCTCGGGGTCTCAGTCCCGGCTGAGCCAGGTCCATGTCGGGAAGCGCGAGGGGATCAACTGGGACATCCTGGTGGCCCTGAAGTGCGATGTGCTTTCCGGCGTCGCTCTTGCTCCACAAAGACCTTGACGACTTCCTCGCTCGACCAAAGATGATGAGCTGAGATCTGCTCGTGGGACAGGTGCCTCGGCCACGTGCTCGTCGTGAACACCACCTTCGGCTGGTTCTGCTTCCCAGAGATTCCAAAAGCCCT